CGCCTATCCCCTGCTGCACCCTTCCTTGCCTCATCTTCCCCTGCTGTCCCTCGCCGCCTCACTTCCCCTTCTTCACCTGCTTCAGCATGGGAGATTCCAGTAATGATGTCGTATATAAGACCAACAAAACGCACAGAAAATTACGTCCCGGGGAAGATGCAGCCCGCATCCGAATCAGCCCCCCCGCCTCCCCAACCTAACCCCACGGCCCCCTGCTTTTCCCTGCACCGGACCCCTTCACCACACAGCCCCCTGCCCCTGCCGTCCCTTCCCTTGCCCGACCTGCGGCAACATAAACCGTATACATTGATATCTTATTCTAAAGTTGACTGCTCAGCACTCGTTAAGCCGTAACACTTGTATAACATGTGCGCCTCATAAAAAGCACTGGTACAACTACAACTGTTGCTGACATCAAAATAAAACAGAAGAAAAAGGAAGAACAATGATAGGATGATAAAATATGCAAGTGCGACACTATGTGTGTGTGTGTGTGTGTGTGTGTGTGTGTGTGTGTGTGTGTGTGTGTGTGTGTGTGTGTGTGTGTGTGTGTGTGTGTGTGTGTGTAAACGAGTAGGAAGAATGGAAAGGAGAGCGGAAGTGAAAGAGAGGGAATGAAAGAGAGAGCAGACTAAATGGGGAAAACGCGAGAAAAGAGGAAAGTGCGAGGGAGCAGGAGGGAAGAGGGAGGGAGGCAGGGAGGGAGCGAGGCAGGGAGGGAGGGCACCCGGGCGGCAAATTGGCCGTCAGGACACGACTCCTCCCGGCGGGACTCCTCCGGTGCCCCCACCCCCTGCTCACCCCGACGAGGGCAGGGGGCGGAATGCCCAATCCAACCACACCGTCATAACATTTTTACTTATCAACTTTGAAGACGGCCGCGCTGGAGACGCTACTCAGTGCTGAATGCAAGAATATTTACTGCATGCAGCAGACCGAGCGGCAATTAAAAACTAATACCGAGTTTGCGTTCATCTGGACTGTATGGGGGGCCGCGTGCACTTGAAATAGCGAAAACAATCGACGAAATAAAACTATGAACTGTATAAATAATACATATGAACATATATATATATATATATATATATATATATATATATATATATATATATATATATATATATATATATATATACAAAATAGCGATACGATCTAAAAGGGAGAGAGAAAGAGGGAGAAAAAAACACACAGCCTTCTGCCGGAGCCACACCTGTGAGAACACATGTGGGGCACCTGTCCTCGCCCCCCCCCCCCCCTCATACACATCCATTTAACCCCTGAGGGCCTGACTGTCCACAGCCCCTTGTTGCACCCTTCCTTGCGCACCTGCCCGGGTTGATGTGCACTCTCGATATTGGCTGCTGCGGATGCTCATTTTGCATATAATCACACTTCTATTTCGAGTCTTCCCGGTGTTATCGGTACGAGTCTTCTTGTTTTCCCCTTATATTGAAGCGCGATTTTACAAGCTGGCGTCCCGAAGATACTAGTTTTTGCGCGCGCTATGTCCGGAGTGCGTGCGTGCTTGGCGGACGTCGAGAAGGGCGTGTATGGGAGGGAGGGATTGTGTAGATCTGCTTAGTCTCTTTTTCATGTTTGTGCGAGCGATGGCATGCCCTGTTCAATGTGCATGTGGCAGCGTGAGATTCAGGGTATGAGGTTGCGTAACAGAGGAGGGGGAAGAAGAGGGATACAGAGAGAGGGTTTGAGGGCATGAGCTGATGGTATGAGCCCAAGAAAACGGCGCGTTATCACGGACGGTGTAATGCCGAACGGGTCATGCTGGCGCGCGGCCAGGTCGTCGCCGCGACTGTAAAAAGACCTATAAACTTATCGCAATCCCTGTAGCTATGCGCGGCGGCCCAGGCACGTGCTGCCCCACTTGCACACACCACTCACCACCCACGACTCCGAACAACTCTCATGAATCGCGCGCTGCGGCCGCTCGCGACGGGAGTGTTATTGCGGCGTTTATTTCCGACGGCGCCGATCGGCCCGAGGCCGTGAATCAGTTCCAAAGCTCCCGTCGCTCTCGTGACTCAGCGGTGACTCGCCCGAGGACCTCTCCTTGCTTGGTGCTGGTCAGCTGACGCCTCCGGAGGGAAGGGCGAGTCACCGCCTTGGCGGAGGCTTGGACGACGGTAAATTTAGAAGCGGCCGAGGGCGAGCGAGAGGAAGGGATCCCGTAAATGCCGTCGGCCCACGGGCAGCGGGGGCGCCGCCAGAGAGGGGCAGCAGGAGCATACCGGAAATGGTGATAATGACGAGGCCGCCGAAAGGGAAGGCGGCGAAGGAGCCCGGGTCTCTGCAATGGCCCCTAACCAAATTCAGGAGCAATGGAGCTTCCACGTCGGCCGAAATGAGCGAGGGCCGAAAGAGCCGAGTGCTGAGTGGGCCGGGGCTAAGTGGGTCCTGGGCAGAGGTCGGCCCACCCAGCGGGCCGGGAAGCGCCGCTGACCACCCGTGTCATGTGTACCCTCCAATTACCCAGTAGTTCTTC